AGGAGGGTGGTGATAGAGAAAAGTGGAAGGAGAAGGGGAAGGGAGGGGAGGAGGTTTAAAAAAAACAAAAAACCTAAAAGCAAATAATACTTATATAATCTTCCACCTTTCCTTAGTTGAGGGCAAGTCATCTCTGGTCCTTCTAAACCTACATAAAGGCACCTGCGAATATTAGCACCCAAGGGCCTTTTCAACCTGGACCTCAAGCCTGTCAATTAAACCCATCAGACAACCCATATTAAAACCCGAAATGCTCATCCAGAGGGGAAATTTTTCTGGTGGGGGAGAGTTTCAGTTCTTCGCTGCATGCAGAAAATAAATAATAAAAGATAGATGAAAGAAAAGAAAAAAATTTAAATTGAGCTAGCATCCACAGAGATACACCATGGACAACCACTTCCAACTTGGAGCTCTGGGCAGAATGTGGTGCTCAGGCTATATTTTCAGGGGTATTGAGAAGGCTTTCTCTCAGCTGTAACTTTTCTTCTCCACTCCATCCCCATACATTATTTACTCAGGATAGAAATTCTTTTAAAAGGTGTAAGCTATTTATTCTTCAATTAGAGAAAAGTTCCAGATTGGTAATTAAAACAGCTGTTTAAACTTAATCTAATATAGACAGGTGGGTGGATGACCCAGCTCACCCCGCCCCCTTGCTCCCTTCAATACCATCATCCTGACCTTCTTTAGTTCATGGAACTTTCCAGCTTCAGGGCCTTTGCACAAGCTGTTCCCTGCATGAAATCCTCTTTCCCCCACTCCCCACCTACCTAACTTCGGTATAAGCTTTTGTTGTCCACTTAGATGATGCTTTCTCAGAGAAACCTTTTTTTCACTCCCAATCTGTCAGTGTCCCCTATTATAAACTCTCATTCCACCCCTTTTCTCCCTACACTTTTCAACTTCTAAGGATACATTTATTTTCATGACTTAAAGTAATGAGTAGAAGCTCTCTTAACACATATCCACTCAGTGGATTCACCAGATTAAACAGAGTGCTCCATTTTTTCCTACAAAACTCTGATAGCTACCCACAGCATGCAAGGCCTGTTTCTTCTTTCGCCAACTCATTATTCATTCATTCATTCATTCAACAAATACACAGTTCTAGATACTGATACAGCAGTAACAAAGCAAATACAAAGCTCTGCCATCATGGAAGAGACATTTTGTGGAAGGGGGCAGACAATGAGCAAATAAACTATGTACTTAGGGATATGCACGATGGATAAATCCAGAGCAGGAAAGTAGGGAAAGCCGTGATTGGGGCAGGTGGATACTGAGGGGACAGCCTCATTATAGATCATTCCTAAGGAAAGTGAGATGGTGAGCTAGGTAAATCTCTGCAGATGCAGAACATGAGTCATGTAAATATCTGGAAACACATGGGGGAAAGGGGTCCAGGGAAAGATTATAAAAAGCCCGAGGAGGATCCTGACATGTTCTAGGAAGAGCAAGGAGGCTTGTGCGGGTGAAGCTGGGCAGGCAAAGGGGGAAAGAGGAAGCGGAGTGGGGTAGGACATGGCTGGTGAACCCTTTTGCCCAACGTTGGAAGGACTTTGGCCTTTAACGTGGGTGGCCATGGTGTTTTGAACGAAGTAGTGACATGATCGGACATATCTTTAACACGTTCACTCTGGCTGATGTGCTGCAAATACACTAAATGAAGCAGGGAGACCAGCTGGGAGGCTTCCAAAATAGCCGGGCTGGCAGGTGATGGGAGTTTGGACCACAGTGATGCCTGTGAAGATAGTGAGACGTGCTCGGCACTTTTTTTTTCTTGGTACATTTTAAGAAGTAGAACTGGTAGATTTGGCAACATATTCAACATGTGGTGTGAGGACCAAGTTTTTAACCTAGAAGAATGGAGTTGTCATTTGCTGGGATGAGAAAAGACTGGCAGGAGGAGGTTAGACAGGTATAGTCAGGAGTTTGGACAAGCTAAGTTTAAGACTATTGGAAATCAAAGATTTGCCAATTTGTATGAACATTCCTCATATACCTCATATACCTGAGTCACTTGGGCTTGTTCTCCCACTTGATTGTATCAGTTGCATGCTATCGAAATGACATCAACATTACAAAAGGAAGAAATATAAAGGCAAAATGAGTTATGGTTTTATAAAAGCTAGGATGAAAGCTTTAAAGACTTGATAAATAGATGATAAAAATTACCATCGAGCTAGATGTGGGAAAGACAAATATATAAAATTGGGTACAAAATTATAAAAACTAGGGGGATTCAGTATACATTTTTTAAATTTTTTATTGTTATGTTAATCACCATATATTACATCATTAGTTTTTGATGTAGTGTTCCATGATTCATTGTTTGTGCATAACACCCAGTGCTCCACGCAGAACGTGCCCTCTTTAATACTCATCACCAGGCTAAACCATCCTCCACCCCCCTCCCCTCTAGAACCCTCAGTTTGTTTTTCAGAGTCCATCGTCTCTCATGGTTCGTCTCCGCCTCTGACTTACTCCCCTTCATTCTTCCCCTCCTGCTATCTTATTTTCTTTTTTCTTAACATATGTTGCATTATTTGTTTCAGATACATTGCTTTTCATGTAAATTTTTTCTCCTTCAAAAGTAAGGGAAACTGGAAATCCCAGATGATGATTTAGCGGTGCAGTTTATACAACAAAGATACCTCAGAACACTGAATGGATCCATATTCCAAGTAAAGGCCTTGACCCTACATCAAGACTGCTCAAAGAAAAAGGTCTACCTTAACTAGATATAGTGTATTATCGTTCCTTATGGTGGTGTCCAGCCACTAAGATGACCCCAAATGATCCCACCTTTTAATATTCACCTCCCACATTGTGTCAAAAAGGTGGTCTGTATGATCACTATAACACGATATGTTAGCATGGTATGATGGTATGTCACTTCCAAGTCTAGGTTATAAAAGATACTGGGTCTTTTGCCTTGATACCTCTTGGATTACTCAATTTGGGAGATGCCAGCAGTAGTTTGTTTTTTTTTTAAAGATTTTATTTATTTGTTTGAGAGAGAGAGAATGAGAGATAGAGAGCACGAGAGGGAAGAGGGTCAGAGGGAGAAGCAGACTCCCTGCCGAGCAGGGAGCCCGATGCGGGACTCGATCCCGGGACTCCAGGATCATGACCGGAGCCGAAGGCAGTCGCTTAACCAACTGAGCCACCCAGGTGCCCGATGCCAGCAGTAGTTTTAAAGAGACTCAGGGAGCTCTGTTATGAGGCCCATATGGCAAGGACCTAACGCCCCAACAACAGCCATGTGAGTGAGCAAATCTTGACAGCAGATCTTCCAGTCCTGGTCAGACCTTCAAATGGCTGCAATCTCAGGAGAGACCCTGAGCCACAACCACCAGCAACAGCCATTCCGGGATTCCTAACCCTCAGCAACTGTGTGAAATAATGTTTGTTGTTTCGAGCTGCTAAATTTTGGGATAATTTGTTATGCAGCAGTAGATAACAAACACGCTTGCTTTAACCTACTTTTTTAAATTAGCCACCCCTTACCACATTAAGGATCTAGTCCTTTTTAAAGCCCGTAGGCCTATTCTCTCACAGTGTTGTAAAAACAAAACAAAACACCCACACAGCAAAGTTCTGGAAATCATATATTTCAAGTGCTTGCAAATGTCAAAGTGCTCCTCTATATTCAAGCATTATGGTATTATTTCAAACATAGCAAATTATAAAAGTTCTGTAATCTCCTATATATAAATGTACTTTGTGAAAGGCTTTTGTGACACACATAAGAGACAGTTAAAAGCAAAAGGTTGAGGTGGTATTTGATGTACCAGTTGCTTTGCTGTGGCTTTTCAGTAAAGAATAAAGCGTTGTAGGAGGGTCTGCTTTACTCTTCTGTACTGGAATTCAGTCCTTCCCTGCACAAACGATGAAGGTTACTTAGAGGTAGGGGAAAAAAAAAAAAACAAAAAAACACCTTAGCAGACAAGAGCTGTGCATGATCAAAGATGTCAGCAGCATGAGAGAGGGAGATCAAAGGAGAAGAGGTGGCAGGGTAAAGTATCACAGAATACCGGGTATGAAAAGAAATACTATATAATAAAAGTCAAAAGTGGCATAAGAACAGTAAGGAAGACAGTGGATGAACCAAATGAGTTAATAGAGATTTCCAGCAAAGCCCTACAAATAATATAACAATAAGACATGGAGACGCTTATAGAGACGTATTTTAAACATACCTAAAAATTCAGAGATGTTTAAGGTTCTTATCTTTATTTATTTACTTAAGTAATCTCTACACTCAACGTGGGGCTCAAACTCATGACCCCGAGATCATGAGTCAATACTCTTCCGACTGAGCCAGCCAGGTGCCCCGAAACCCAGAGATGTTTAAAATATACAAAACATGGCATTCGGGCAGTGGGATCGAAGAGGATGGCATGGGACAGCCTGGAGGATGGTAGGTGACAAAGAAAACAGAAGAGGAGGCTGAGGTGCTGCTCCAGCCTCCCATCCATGTCCAGCCCTGTCTCCTCGCTGGGAAGAGTGCCCACAGACTGGGGTGCTTTGGACTGTTTTTCTATCCAGGGAAAGCAGCCTTGCCATCTGGTGCCCCCACGGCCGGCCCGGCAGCAGCCCCTCTCCTTGTATGTGGACTCTGACCAGGCAGTGGGGGGAAATGGGAAGTCTGAATAGGGACGGGTGCACAAACATCAATTAGATAAATGTATATTGTGTTTGATGGCATTCCCAATCCAAACACTTTATTAATTAAAACACAAGTACTCTGGCTTCACTCATCACAGAAATATCTTTTCTCCCACTTCATCCACAGAGGAGACCATGTGCTTTGGCACTTGATTCCAACAGTTCTGCGGTCATCGGCATTTTCTGTGCCCATGTATGTGGTCTAACGAACACCGAGAGCTCCCATATGACAGGGTCTGATGAGACCAGTGTGATCTTGCAAATATATATATATATATATAAGCATTCTATAACATAGTCAATACATCAGGAAGATGTACCATCACTGTTTTATTTGGCAGTAAGAGAAATACATCCATGTTACAGTGCTTATTTTAGCTAAAGAGCCAGTGCTATTTTTTTTCTGCTACTGTAGTGTTTCACCTGTAAATTATTAAGTACAGTCCCTACATTTAGGAAATAGACACATTTACTAATAACAGCCAAGTAAGGACAATACATGGTTGTTCCAAACTAAGCAAAACATAACATAATAGAATCATTAGGAACAAAGAAAGAATGCCCCTATTTCCACTAATCACAGATTATACAAATTCTTGAGTCTCACAGAGAAATTTCTAAATGTAATTAATCCAAGCAAAAAACAAAAGATTTGAATTCAGCCTAATTCTTATAATCACTTTGAAATGTATATTCCAAATAATTTCCTAATATGTGTTCACATTAAAATAAAAGCAAATTGTCATGAACATAATTTAAAATTTCTGATTATGAAAGGTCACAGAGAAGAAGTATATTAAATGTTACTTTGGCATTCCTATTTCATAGGTTTAAAGGAATAATAAACTAAATTCTTTTGTGATGCAAATAAGCACTCTTTAGGTAATCATTTAAGCAGAAAATGTGACATCTTTTTTTTAATTGAAGTATAGTTGACAATGTTACATTAGTTTCAGGTGTGAAAATGTTACATCTTAAGGCAAGAAAAAGTATGTAAATATTTTTTATAAAGTCAGGTAATTTAACAATAGAATAAAAATAAATGGATGCAAATAAACAGTACTATTTTATGAGAGAAAGTTTTTTGGAGCTGACTATAACCGTATGAAAAACTTGGCTTCTTTTTTTAAAAAAAATCTCATTTTGACATTTAATAAACATACTGTAAGCCTTAAATGAAGAATTACTAGCTTTTTAGTTGAACAAAAACGTGGAGAAACCAAAATAGAAAGTTACCAAACATAAATCACCTGAACACGGATCTTTTTTCTTCCAGAAAACAAGAGGAAAAACCGTTTTCTCAGGATGAATTCAAGGCCCCCCCGATTATCACGTACACAGGAAGATGGTCGGTAGTAGGACTGGTGGTGGCAAAGGTGGTTTTCTGACAGTACCAGCGTGAGTGTCTAACAGGGTTTTTTCCTAAAAAACTCTAGACTAGTTTAATCATTTTTTATTATTTATAACACTGCTTTAGTTGCTTAACCCAATTTCAAGGCAAACTGAAATTGGTACTTATGTCCTTAGTACTCTGCTGTGGTCAGAACCATTTTTAAGAGATGTTTCTTTTAAAAAGTTCAAGTTTCTTCCCTTACAATAGAGAGGGTTTTTTTTTTTTTTTCTTTTCTTATTACCCTGAAATTCTATTTGGTCACTCTTGTCTCTTTTGTTTTTTTGGTTTTTTTTAAAGATTTTTATTTATTATTTGACAGTGAGAGATACAGTGAGAGAGGGAACGCAAGCAGGGGGAGTGGGAGAGGGAGAAGCAGGCTTCCCGCAGAGCAGGGAGCCCAATGCAGGGCTCGATCCCAGGACCCTGGGATCATGACCTAGGCCAAAGGCAGACGCTTAACGGACAGAGCCACCCAGGTGCCCCACTCTTGTCTCTTTTGTCAAAGGCCACAAAGAAAGCATTCTGCTGAAGTAGTAGCTATGTAATTGACCAGAAGCTAATCAAATTCAAACACTGAATTTGACAAACCAGCCTCTTGAATATGGGCAACTTTTTTTTAAGGTGAAGTGAAAAAAGAGAAAAAAAAAACACCTTCTGGAAAGCCATTCATCTTATCTGATGAACCAAATCCCCCAGAGTTATCTTATGTAGTAGCAGCATTATTAAATAGTGCAATTCTTCAAAATAGATTTCAAATAATATCGTCCTCAAATAAAAAAAGTAATTAAAAGTTTACTTACAGCTTTGTTTATAAAACCACAGCTTAAAACAGTTAGCCCCCCCCACAAGAAAATTAATATAAACAATACCTGTCTTGCCTACACAATGATGGGAATGTGTGCATGCATACACACGTGTATGAATCATTCAAGGCCAATGGTACCTCAACAAGAAGCTAAAAATACAAGATATGAATTAAAAATTAAACAACACATAATGGAATTTTTTAGCTTTGATACTTCTAATGCTATTCCTCCATCAATAATAAGAATTGTGAATAGCCAATTGTTAAATTAAGAATATATGTAAGAAACATCCAGAGCTAAATATCAGAGCAATATTTCATACTGTTTAATGCTGTAACCCACACATTATGGGACACAGTACATGCAAAGAGCATGAAGATTCTGAAACTCATAATTTGTAACTAATATTACATAAATGTGGCACAAATGTAAATTTAAAACCTTAAAAGATTATGCTTTTCTCCCTCACTTTTCCTTTTCTATTCCTTAGTCAGAAACTAGGCACTTTAATCTAAAAATTCATTTTTAAAAAATATATTTTAGATATTTCTGGGTAACTCCCTCTTGAAATAAATAAAGCCCACCTTAGGAGCAAAATCAATGAATCCAATCTGCTGATATGCTGAGTGAGCCACTTTAAATAAGTGGTATATGATTTAGACACGAAATTAACACAGCTCTGAATGTATCTAATATACTCTGAAGAACCCTACTCATATGAACAACTCATTTGTTCATTTATTTATCATAAAGGACAAGAAATATACCTCCATGCCATTAAAAAATATTTTGTTCTATATTCAGGGGAAAAAAACCTTTAAAACCTCATGAAGATTCAAAGTGTGAGTATTTTTAAAATATGGGCATAATATGACAAATTCCCAGTGTGCTATAAGTTCTACAGAGGAGAAAGGAGAAATTATTTTACTGTATCCAGATTAATACCTTCAGATATTGGGAAATAGTTTCAAAACTACACACAAAAAATCTTAATTACCTCTCATAGTTAATAAATGTTATCTTTTTAATCAATAATCATTCAAGGGAAAATGCTCTAATCTATAAAAAGATAAAAGAAATTTCTTCAGTCTCGTTATTCTAACTTATAGGACCAACAATGATATATTTTGGAAACTGAGTAAATCTAATATAAACTGCTAACTTGTAAACTTCTCAGAGTCAATTCATTTAAATGTTTTATAATGATACTCAGCCATTACAATTTCTTTGATTCAAACATGAGCAAATGCACAAGCAGTAATGTAAGCAGTACATATTAACACCACTACTGCCTAAACTTGATTGAATAATAAATAACTTTACAATGAAGAATACATTTTCAGGCAAAGTTAAATTTGTTGACACTAGGAGTAATATATTCTTACATAAGGGGGCCACGAAGGTCTTGGCTAAAGTGTATATTTTCAAGGTGCAAAGTATAAAAACAGAGCTTTTGAGAAGGATACTGGACTTTGCAGACAGCTTTGGGACGACAAATCAACTAACTCCCAAGTACTGGTTTCAATTCAAGCAATATTTCTATAAAATATACAGCATTTCATGACTTAAATTATTACCTAAAGACAAGAAAGCGCCACTTTGGATACAGTACACAGGGATTCAACTGACAGAACGTCTGTGTAAATACAGTGCGATCACTCATTCTCTACCAGATGTCTTTTCCCTCCCTGAGTCCATACCCCCCAATTCCTTGTAATACATGGTACAAAATCAATAGTTACCTGAACTATCTCAGAGCACACTCCAATTGTATGGTTTTTATGGTACTTATTGTACTTTGGCTTCCAACAGGCCACTGGACATAACATGACCATGACTACTTAGACAGCTACTTGTATGCCTCAGTGCATCAGCTCCAAGATAGGCCATTAACAGTTCGGTGCGGCGAGTAAGTAACTGCATGAGGTCTTCAGCCAAAGTCTCTATACTGGAATAGCGCACCTTCTCGAAGTCAAAAATGTCTTTGAGAAAGAAAAGAACTTGATTCTGGAAAATGAACATAAAACAAATTGGCACTATCAGACCAAAATTACATCGATCTAAATAGTTACCAATACTGTAACGAGCACTGAATTAGGAGTCAGAAGGCCTGAATGCCAGTACTAGTTTCATATCTCATTGGAAAAGGGACCTTGAACAAGTGATTAAACCTTTCCTAGGTCTCATTTTCTTTTTCTGTAAAATACGGGATACTACCACTTGTCCTTTATACTATTCAGGGCTGACATGATGATGAAAAAAAAATCTGTGGGAAATGCCTGTAAACCTTAAAGCACTGTCTAAATGTAAGGGGCTATTATTAATTCTTTCTCAATAACTGACACTTTCAATGTTACCTCTGAATAGTGGTACTACTCTAAGACAGAAGAGTAAACTATTTCCAATAGTTGTAAATTTTAAGATTTTTTTTGTCTTTTTTTTTTTTTTAATTTTAGAGAGAAAGCACGAGCAGGGAAGGGGCAGATGGAGAGGGAGAGGCAGAGAATCTCAAGCAGACTCTGTGCTGACTGTGGAGCCCCACTCGGGGCTTGATCCTATGACCCTGAGATCATGACCTGAACCAAAACCAAGAGTGGGACACTTAACTGACTGAGCCACCCAGGTACCCCTGTAACTTTTAAGTTTTTCTTTTTTTTAATTTTTAAAAAATGTTTTATTTATTTATTTCTGTGAGAGAGTGAGCACATGCGCACAAGCAGGGGGAGGAGCTGAGGGAGAGGGAGAAGCGGCTCCCCACCGAGCAGGGAGCCTGATGCGGGGCTCGATCCCAGGACCCTGGGATCATGACCTGAGCTGAAGGCAGATGCTTAACCGACTGAGCCACCCAGGCGCCCTAACTTTTAAGTTTTAAGTGTATATTTTTCTGTATATAAAAAACTTAAGATACGTGAAAAATAAAAAATTCAGGTCTCAAACCACTGGAAGATCTGAAGGATATTTCATTTCAGTAAGTTAATACTTATGCTGCAACTCATTCTTTTACTGAAGGTACAGTTGAAATACAGTGTTTTATTAGTTTCAGGTGTACAACACCTGAACAACAAGTCTACACATGACTCAGTGCTCACCATAGTAAGTGTACTTACCACCCATCACCACACTAGGTTTTTATAGTATTATTGACTATATTCCCTATGCTGTACTTTTCATCCTCGTGACTTATTTATTTTATAACTGGAAGTTTGTATTTCTTACTCCCCTTCACCTATTTTGCCCCTCCTCCCAATCCCCTCTCCTCTGGCAACCACAACTTTGTGCTATTTATGATCCTATATGTTTTTTTGTTCATTTGCTTTGTCTTCTGGTTTCCACATATGAGTGAAATCATGGCATTTGTCTTTCTCTGCCTGACTTATTTCACTTAGCACAATACCCTGTAGGTCCAACCCTGTTGTTGAAAATGGCAAAATCCCCTTCTTTTTTTCTGAAACTCATTTTAAGCAAGTTGTACACCACTAAGTCACAGGCTGTTATGCCATGATGGGGGGGGGAAAGTAATTCCAAACAACAAAAAACAGAAATACTTAATTCCTATCGCACAGAAATCAAGAGTTAAGGAGTACTAGGAAGGCACACGTCATAGATTTGCTTGACTCTGTACCTGGATGAATTAGCAATCAACCTGTCAAGCCCCATCATTTTATAGATGAAGAAAAGGAGGACAGAGCATGATTTGCCCAGAGTCAGGCTGTTCATTAATGACAAACTTAATTCCCAGTCCAAATTCTTCCCACTAAACACATACCTTACATTTTGGGAGTTCAAAAAAACATGAGTCAAAAATTGATCAGTTTTGAATAATAGTAAAATAAATATTTCCTAAACATTTATATAAATGTTACATTAACAGCACATAAACATAATAATTTAAGTTTTTAAATGAACAACAGTGAAAATCCAAGCTTTCAGGGGCGCCTGGTGGCTCAGTCGGTTAGGCATCTGCCTTCGGCTCAGGTCATGATCCCAGGGTCCTGGGATCGAGCCCCGCATCGGGCTCCCTGCTCAGAGGAGAGCCTGCTTCTCCCTCTCCCACTCCCCCTGCTTGTGTTCCCTCTCTCGCTGTGTCTGTCAAATAAATAAATAAAATCTTTAAAAAAAAAAGAAAATCCAAACTTTCAAACATCAAAAACTTTCAAATTCATACTTGATTATGTTTACTTTTATTTGCTCCTTGAAACTCAGCCTAAATTCAAGACTATGAAATAATGAGACTTTTCTCGGCACTGTGCCAGGCAGAAAGTTCTGCAAGAAGCTGTAACTTGTGTTTTGGCAAACTGCTGACGATAGGATATGACCTTAAACTCCCATGTTAGCTCTCACAACTGGGGTTTTATCATTCATGTTACCTTAAACCAGAACTTCTAAATTGCCCACATGTGCAATAAAGACACATTATTATTTGTTTTGTACATTTCAAAAGAGTCCAGAGGTGAAGAACAACTGTCTGTAGCAACTTGATTGTAACAGGGTAACACCCACACAAAACTGCGTATCACACCACACAAAAGCACATATCCATTATACAAGGATTTGATAAGGTGAATGGACTTGCTGAATCTACTCTGGGATAAAGCACCAGATCTATATAATAATGTTCCACTGGCGTTTAAACACTGAATTTAGGTGACTTTTATAACTACCTCTCATTAACATTCTTTTTCCTACAAAAGCAAAAACAACACAGAATAAAGCCTCATCCACTTTTCAATTTAGAAAAAAAAAAGAGACGATTCAATGACTGAACATACCTTAAAGAAGCAACATAAATCATAGAGAGAATTTCGAGGACCCAAAAAGCCCCAGGCGAGGACAGGGCTGATCTGCTCACAAATGGCATAAAAATGGGCAAAAAATCCATCTGGGATCTGTTGGGAAGTAAAGGAGAATTGAGTTATTTTTACCTTCTTGAATTAGCTATCTCTAGCAGAGAAACTTAAATTGCTATCCATCATATGATCAGCTCTTTTTGAGGACAGACCAAGAGTTAATGATGAGCCGGCCTACTAAGGAAGTGAATAAGCTTATAAGTAACTTTTAGAGTCACAGAATGTTTTACATAATTTTCATATCCTAGCCAACAGTTTCAAATGTGCTGAGGAACACTATTTCTTAAGGCATTTTCACCTCATAAAAATACTTCATAAAACGTAATCATACCAGTGTTACAACCAAGCAATAACAAGAATGCTATGGTGCTCCTTAGCAGCATGGTTTTTAGGATGAATGAGATTACTATGGTTTCAGCTATTAAACAGTTCCATTCAATCACTTAATTAAATTACCTGAAAAAGACCAAAATGATTTTTAAATGACTAAGCACAAAAATATGCTTGTTAGAACCCTAATTTTTAGTTGAGGAACCAGATATTATTGAAGCATTTAATTGTGTAATTACTACCTCTTCTTGTGCAATAATAATACATATAATTCTAATTCAGGAACCTCTCTAAGTTTACTAATAACTTTCTGAATTTCCCTTGTTAAATAACATCCTGTGGGATTTGTCATACAGCATCAACTGGGGATAACTATGCCTTAAGATTCTGTCTCCTGGAGGGGTTATTTTCTATTTTATAGGCCCCAAAACATCTTCTAAACCTCCATTTAAAAAATATATATACTCTAGCAGCAATTACATTTAATGAGTACTCATTATATTCCAGATGATGTGCTAGGTTCTATTTAATCTAATAAAATATTCCTGAAAAATAGGTCATGTTAACATTGTAGAAAGTGATACATCAGAGGAGTTAAGTAACCTGTCCTAAGTCACCCAGAGCTAACCAGTGAAGGCCAGAAAGTTATGAAGGATGCACTGAAGTTATTATTTAGTCTGAGAGGTTCTGCATATATTAAAATTCTAAATCGCATAGACTCTAACTGTAGTAGAAGTTCAGACAGGTAGAACATGAGCATGAGCTGACAGAAGAGACAGGCTTCCCCAAGTAATAACACGAGCTGAACTCAACAAGAGGTAAGATATATTTAAATACAGAGGAAAGAGTACAGCATTCCAGGTCCAGAAAATAGTTCCCCAAGAGGTGAGATATATAGGTAATCTGTGGATATGGAGAGAAGACTAGTCTAAGGTATAAGATTTATGCTAAGAAGACATACAGTTATATATGTTATCATGATTATTATGGAAACTACTACTTATTAAGCTCATTTTTATATTTACTTTTCATTTTATGTTTAAATGAAGCTGGTTGATATTATCTTATTTCATTCTTACACCAAGCCTATGAGGCAGGCACCAATTTCACCTGCAAATAGGAGAACTGGAGGTGAACTGATAGGAACTTGCCCGAGGTCATAATAGCTAGTTTAAGAATCAAGCCCAAGTCTACAAGTCTGCTCCCTAGCCCCAAACCAGTGGTTCCCAGATGTTAAGAGTTTTAGAATCCTGATTTGGAAAGCTTGTTTAAAACACAAGGTCTCTGGAATCTTTTTTTTTTTTTTAAATGTTTATTGAATGATAGAGTACAAAGCTCCCAAAGAGGGAGGGGACCTGAGAGAGATGCCCTCTGGAATCATTTTAAACAACAATTATTCACATACATGGTCCCCAGAATTATCTTAAAAATTCTATCAGAGCCATTTCTAACCCTAAACCCTCTCTCACATAGTAGAAATCCCATGCATGCCTCAATTTTCTCTACTGAGAACTATACAGAATGTTAAGGAAGAGGAAGAAGGAATTCAAAACAGGGGAAGCCAACCCAGTATCAATAAGTCACTCTTCCAGCTCGAGGGACAGTCCCTATGAGCTGCCATCCCCACTTGAGAACTGACTCTGCAGTTTCTTTGACAGGAGCCTCATATTACCCAAAAAAGAAGTCGAAGGCATAATGAAGTTTACCTTCATCTGTTGCCTTTTCTGTTTCAGCACTGACCAACAACTTGAAGCCACAGCCTAAATATATACAGAGAAAAAGCAAGACTTACATTTATGACTATATAAACTTTGCATTAGGAGTGATTTTTATTAGAAATTCATAGGTTTATGGGTTTAAAGTGTTCAAAACATTTTAACCAGTCCCGGTTCCTTCTATTGTTTGTGAATAAATAATGAAAAGGTATTTTGTTTTTATAAATTTTAAATTAAATACAAAGCCACTGAAGGAAAAAGGCTGAGCTCTGGCACCAAGAAACTTGGTTACCTATAATTCAACTCTCAGTTCTCCAGTTCTGTTCCAACGGGAAAAGAGTGAAAATATGTGTATACAGATACACATACACAACGGCTGTTTTATGCATAATAATGAAGACAACACAGTATTTTTTTTTTTCTTCAAGAACAGTACTGCTGGAAATAGTTGTGGGTAGAGCGAACGGTTATTCCAATAAAGAACTAAGAAATACAACCTTAATGATAGGGACTAAAATACCCAAGTGGATCTTAAGGAAATCTGGCATGGCCCAACTTTGATCAAGGTCACTTTACCAAATCAGTTAAGAAATGGGAGAACATGTAACTTTTATGGTTAAAACATATTTTGAGTGAAAAGTGGATTTATTAAAAATGCTTTAAAATTTAATATCAGAAATTTCCAAAATAATTGTGAAATAGGCAGCTGGAACATTTTTTTAAAGGCATTCTAATTGCAGCATGAATATCTATTTTACCTACTTCCTTCCAAGTACATACTTAAAGCACAACAAAAAAACAATGTCAAATAGAGATCTGAGTACAAAAAAAAACCCAGAAACTGAAAACATTCAAAGTATAGGATAGAGTTTAAACCTGTTTTATTTTTACATATGCCTATTTCTTTTACTCCCTTTTTTAATTTTTAAAAAATTTATTTTTAAGTACTCAATACACTCAACGTGAGGCTTGAACTCACAACCTTGAGATCAAGAGCTGCACTGTCTACCGACTGAGTCAGTGAGGCACCCCTTCCTCCCCTAATTTTTGATAGTATTTGGGAATATAAATCTCCATATCTTCCTCTAAAAAAATACATACTGTCTTTTTACAACTGCTGTATTTTAGGTTAGTCACAGAGACAGTTCAGTTACATTTTTGGTTAGGCCTGATCTGGTCTGAAGCCTGAGTTTGAGACCTGAAGAAACATTAGTCCTCCAGGTAGGCGCAGGGACAGACAGAAGAGCCAAAGGGAATTTCATCTGAAGATGTTGTGTATCATACACATCTGATCCCAGTATCAAAGACTGAGCCGTTTCCACACTAGTCATTGTATAGGCAGATATATAAGTAAATCTTATTGATCTTCCCAGCTCTGACCATTTCTCATCGAATTTAAATGGTTGAGAAAAAGGTAAACCACCACTTACAGTTTCTTTGAAGGAGGAGTTTAGCCAGCGGTTATTTACTACATTCTGTATGGATGTGGGTGGGTTTTCTAAATCTTCAAAGGAATCCATTAATATAAAATCCAGAACAACATCATAAAAATTTAGATTTTTCACCTGCATTAAATTATAAGTTAAAACACAAATTATTGTTACGTAGGGCTAAAATAAAGTCTGAACCAAGGCTTCATGCTTTATAACAGCAGGGTGTTTATAGTTGACTCAGATTATATCCCTGACGAAAAAAGGGGAAGAAGAGAGACAAATATGAAAACAACTCACCACCAGAAACTGTAATTCACGTAACAGCCATTCCTTCCTAGATCCCTTAATCTCTCCTTCACTGCATTCTAGGAGTCCTTTGTCTATGCTTTGCTTATGGTATCCACCATGCTCCATCTGCTTTGTTCTATAGCTCCTGGGATATCTGCTTATCTTCCCCACCACATCATGAGCCTCTTGCTCCTTCATTCAGTCATGCATATCATGCTGTCTTACATGCTGTACCAGGTGCTCAGACTTCCATGGCAACCAAGTAAGATGCTTAGAATTTAGTGGGAAAACAGATAGCAACAAATAACGCCACAAATGCACAATTATAAACTGTGATAAACCCAGTAAAGGAAAAAGGACATGGGAATATGAGAGCTTATGATGGAGATTCTAATCTAGACTAGATGTCAGAGAGGGCTTTCTTTTTTTTAAAGATTTTATTTATTTATTTGACAGAGAGACACAGCGAGAGAGGAACACAAGCAGGGGGAGTGGGAGAGGGAGCAGCAGGGAGCCCGATGCGGGGCTTGATCCCAGGACCCTGGGATCATGACCCGAGCCGAAGGCAGACGTTTAATGAATGAGCCACCCAGGCACCCCAGAGAGGGCTTTCTTTAGGGAGTGAGGCATCCCAGGTACAGGAAATACCTGTCAAAGTGTTTCAGGTAAGAAGGAACACAGTGGTGTTGAGTTGAAGAAAACGATCGAAAGTGCACTGTAGCCTCTATAGCAAAGGGCACGGGGCAAGTGGCTGGAGACAAGGAGGAAGGGCTAGGTCCACGTGCATAATTTTGGATTTTATCCAATATTTTGGAGGGGCAGTGGTAGAGGGGAGATGGATGATCAGATTTGCATTTTTTAAAGACTGTTTGGCAGCAGTGTAGAGATTGGAATGGAGAGGAGAGAGGGTGACTGGGTAGAGGGTTGAGTAGCCAGGGAATCTGGCAATGCAAAGACGCTGAGGCAGTCCAGGGAGAAAGAGTAGTTACTCAGGCTCAGCGATGCTGGCAGGATTAGAGAGAAGATGAAGAAACTAAAAAGACTGACAAAACTCAGACATAAATACGATATGGTAGGCAAGGACCAGGAGGTGTAAAGGATGAGTCCCAGGTTTCTGGCCTGCACAACTGAATGGATACCAATCCCTCCACCAAGTGAGGGAACACCAACAAAAGAAAGATTATGTCTCTCTGTCTTTGTACCGACTATTTTCTCTGCCTAGAAAGCCTTTCAGCCCTTGCAAATTCATTCTTTAAGCTTCTGTTACAACAAAATGTTCCAGCCTCATTATGTATTTCTCCTATCCCAGTGCTGAAATCAGCCATTTTTCCAAGGAGTCCTAGGTTCCTTTTAGTGAACAGTGGTACTTAGAAGCCTACCTCTGTGTGCTAGGAGTAATTTTTTTTTGAGGTGTTGCTGCTCCCAGACTCTTAGTGAACAGAACTAGGAAGTATTCATATGCTTCTAAATATGCAAACCTTTATATTTATTTCCACATCTTTACACACACACACACACACACACACACACAAACTACAAATTCACAGGGACAGCTCCCACTCCAATCTTAGCTTTTTATATCTTCCTTCCCTGAGAGTGCAAAACCTGGCTCCCATTATTCTCAATATATTTGATTATTTGTTTAATCCTGTGTAGCCAATCCCCCACTCCTCCCTCTAAGCTGTCTGCTGTCCCACTCAAAACCATCCCTGCCCAGGCCACCACTCACCCTCCTAGGGCCTTCTTGCTGATGAAAGGAGGGAAGGAGGGAGGGAGGGAGGGAGGGAGGAAGGAATGAAGGAAGGAAGGGCTTAAACAACTGTTTTACCCAAAAGTATAAAGACTGTGTTGTTATTGTTTATGACTGTGATAACCACTACCGCATAATTGGTTTTACTGTCATTTAACAAGGACAAGGAAACAGTGGCCTCAGATTATCTAAATATTATACGTACATAATTAAGGGGAATGAATATACAAAAAATTGAAACTTACTCCTCTAGCAGCAAGTTCCATTTCAGTACTATCCCAGTGATCAGTTTGCTCTAAAAAATAGATCATTTCATCAAAAACATCTTCAAACTTCTTTGGATTCTGCAGAAGAAAACACACTTTAATCCTAAACTCAACTTTATAACAAGACCCAAGCCTACAAAGTAAATGAGTTACTTTTCAAGTATGTTTGTTAGATCTTTATTCTATTAAGTAACTGAATTAAAATACATTTTCAAGGTATGTCATATTCACTTGGTTTAATATTTTGTTGTTTCAACATTAGTAAAATGTTGTAAGCAAACTGCTTACTAATCAAATATGTTTGCCTATCTAGGTCAGTCCTTCAGATGAAAACTTGGTTACAGCAGATACTTTGTGATGCTTTTGATGCAGTTCTATTCCTCTTGGAGGAACTCTAGGTGAAATCACTGGGTTTAATCTGTCATGGGAAGGTCAAGAAAGCAACGTAAGATTTGCACCGGGAATTACAAGTAGTTAATATCACCTTACATTTATTTTGCACTTTAAAAAAATTTTGCTTTCCCACTTATCATTTAATTAATGATCATAAGAACCCTCTGACATAGTGTATCATAAATATAATTCTATTATACAAATGAGGTAATTGAGGTTCAAAAGGATTGGGTCAGAAAACCAGGTGTTCAAATGGCTCAAGTGAACATAAAGGAAGGCCTGTTTTACTTGATTTTTTTCTCAACATCTGGACAGACCTTACATAAAGGGAAGTTGTTCCTTACAGTCTTAATGAAGTTCTTATGATTGCTCTGCCCCATTCAGTCCCATGAATAAGAGTAAGAGGCAGCTCAATTTGTATTTCCAGATTTCTGAGATCTACACTATTTCCTGGAACCTCACTGAGCAGGATTTGAGGGAGGTAAGTGAAGAGGTATTAGGAAATAATAGTGGTGGTTACAGGATCAGATCTAATGATAATCCCCATACAACATTCACAGACTTTACAGCAAGCTGGGAATAACATATGAGCAACAACTTGATCAAAATAGTGTAGACTTCATACATAGAAACTAAATCAACCCAAGTAGAAGTCAATGCTCTTTAGGTAATTTTTTTTTAAAGATTTATTTATTTATTTGACAGAGAGAGACACAGCGAGAGAGGGAACACAAGCAGGGGGAGTGGGGGAGGGAGAAGCAGGCTTCCTGCTGAGCGGGGAGCCTGATGTGGGGCTCGATGTGGGGCTCGATCGCAGGACCCTGGGATCATGACCTGAGCCGAAGGCAGGCGCTTAACAACTGAGCCACCCAGGCGCCCCTAGGTAATTTATTTTTAATATGTGAACCTTTGCAATGATCTACAAAAACTTTTTCTTCTATTAAAAATTCAATGTATTGTAATGTATGGTAATCTCCAGCAATCAACAGTAAAAAACTTGCCAACAAAACAAGTTTACCTTTCGTGCTTTCACAATTAATGCTGATAAAATTTTCCTTCCACTCTCAGCAAGGAATATCCTGTTGGCTGTTTCTGAAAGTATTACCTGAAAAAATATCCAACCCCAAAGAAAAAAGAAACCTAAAATTAATCTGAATGGACATCTGACTCTATAGCACATCTACACATAAACGACCCTAATACAGTCAATGCATTGCGTGTGGCCCTATGTCCGCAGGTAGACCACAGAGAAAAGTTGTAATTTACTAAGGTTTTAAAAAGAGCTCTTGAAACCTATAATCATAAAAGATTAAAGGGAAGTAAATATGAATTAAATTCTGTTCAATTTAATATTAGAAAATCCAAAATAAATGTTATATAGTCCCTAAAATGTAGAAAAATAAAGATAACTTTTTTGTTAAGTGATCTTATTTCATTTTAGGAAATCAATGATTTTCCAAGTGATTCAAATACAAAACAATCTAGAAAGCATACTAATTGATAATAAGCGGATTTTTATTTTAAGCAGCCATTTCCAGCATCAGAACACCCTGTTTAACAAAGTGTGGTGGACCTGGGAAGCCATGACAGAGGACAAAGACAAATGAAGGAACTAGCAGGCAGGAAAAATAAACTTAGTAGATTTTATACTTGCCATTAAAAATAAGGATAATAAGAGCAAAGAGCTGTCCTGTTTATATTCAGCTGGACTCTATAGCATGAGGGTGGGGATGAGTGGCTAGGTGAAGTCACTTAATGTTAAAAAAAAAAATACCTGAAAAGCCTGTCGAATACAGTGAAGTTTGGCAAGAAAATCACTGTCTCCTAGGCACTCCAACATTTCAGTTCTATGTAATAAACAGGGAAGACAACTGTTAAACTGCATTCAAGATCAAGCCCACTACAAATTTGGACTCAAATAAGGCTTAACCTCAGGACCTTAATATAAAACACATGTCTTTTCAATAATGACAAAAATGTAAAAAAATTTTTGAGCCTAAAAGACACTTCCCCCATTTTCATAAACATCTTTAATAAATATTACACCAACATAGCAACAGCACCTTAATATTTTTCATAAACAAAAGCATAACTGAAATGGTACCTAAGCACTCTTGAGTAAATTTTCCCTTCTTCAACTAAATGCATGGCTTCTTCATAAAAAGGGCAGTGGCAGAGAGACTCTAGACTGTAAGCATGTCGTCCTTCTCTGTGTTCTGCAAGCTAAGAATACAGTGGGTTACAACAGATTACACTGATATAAGAAGAAAAACTTAGAAAATAGGATCTTGCTAACATCAAAACATACTCAATTTGATTAAACCATAAAAATCATTCCATAAGATTTTACAGCTACTGAGCTCTAACTTCACTTTATTTCAAAATTCAGTTGTAAAAATGAGTAAAACTTTGTAACAAGCTTTTGAATTCAACAGCTTAAATCCATAGGATACACAGAAAAGCAGTATCTTATAGTTCAGTAAGAATAACTGAAGATGAAGCATTGCGGGGGAAAAAAAGGGAAGGATTTTATCATCCAACGAATGCTTCAAAGTATTAGAACTCACAATTGCAAATGGAGTAAAACTTCCTACAAAAATACTGCAATCTCAGTTTGGCCAATTCTAAGGAATTTTTTCTCATAGCCAGCTCTGACTAACCTTTGTATAACTGAAAAATACTCATGCACCTCTGGCTAGCATAACAACGCTACAGATGAAATTCCAGTCTTCTGACAATTCATTAAAAAATAACAACTGCAAACGCTATAGAGTAGCCAGCTAAGCAAGAAAGCTTTGGAGTGATTTTTATTTTTCAATACCAGATGATCCATTTAAATAGCACGCTGTAGGGGTTTTTGTTTTTTTTTGTTAAGATTTTTTTAAAATTTTTAAGTAATCATTGCACTCAATGTGGGGCTTGAACTCACAATCCCAAAATCAAGAGTTGCATGCTCTACCAACTCAGCCAGCCAGGTGCCCCTGCATTTTTTTTTTTTTTAAGATTTTATTTATTTGAGAGAGAGAGAGAGAGTACCTGTGTGCATGTGCACACATGCACACTAGCATGCTGGCATGCAAGCTGGAAGTAGGATGGGGAGGGAGCTGGCACAGAGGGGGAGCGAGAGGGACAAGAAGACTCAGCACTGAGTGTGAGCCCGATGCAGGGCTCAGTCTTAGGACCTGGAGATCATGATCTGAGCCGAAATCAAGAGTTGGACGCTGAACCAACTGAGCCACCCAGGTGCCCCTGTTTTTTCTGTGGGGTTTTTTGGTTTATTTTTAATAAACATTTTTTAAAATTTAAATTCAATTAATTAACATATAACGTATTACTGGTTTCAGAGGTACAGGTCTGTGGTTCATCAATCTTTTACAATTCACAGCGCTCACCATAGCACATACCCTCCCCAATGTCTATCACCCAGCCACCCCATCCCTCCCACCCCCCACCACTCCAGCAACCCTCAGTTTGTTTCCTGTGATTAAGAGTCTCTTACGGTTTGTCTCCCTCTCTGGTTTCATCTTGTTTCATTTTTTCCTCTCTTCCCCTATGATCCTCTGCCTTGTTTCTTAAATTCCACATATCAGGGAGATCATATAATTGTCTTTCTCTGACTGACTTATTTCGCTTAGAGTAATACCCTCTTCGTTCCATCCACACCATTGCAAATGGCAAGACTTCATTTTTTTGATGGCTGAGTAATATCTTCTTTTTTTTTAAATAGCTTTATTGAGATATAATTCACATACTATAAAATTCATCCTTTTAAGCATACAATTCAGGGTTTTTTTTTTAAGCATATTCACAGGGTTTTGCAATTAGCACCAACTTTTAGTTCCAGAATATTTGTACCACTCCAACAGGAACTCCCTTACCCATCATCAGTCATCCCCATTTCCCCTTCTCTCTAGCCCCTGGAAACTAATCTATTCTCAGTCTCTGGAGTTTCCTACTTTGGAAACTTCATGTTTACAAACAGTATGTGGCCTTTTGTGTCTGGTTTCTTTCACTTAGCATAGTGTTTTTAAGGTTCATCTATGATGTAGCTGGTATCAGTACTTCATTCTTTTTTATGGCCGAATTGTATAGATATACCACTTCCTTTTTTTATCTATTCCTCAACCTCATTTAGGTTGTTTCCACTTTTGATTATCATGAATAAGGCTGCTTTGAACATTTGTGTAAAAGTTTTTAATATTTTCAATTCTCTTGAGTATACACCTAAAAGAGGAAGGGTCAGATGGTTACTCTATGTTTAACATTTTTTTCTTAATTTTTGTCTTGAGAGGGAGAGAGAGAGAGAGAGAATCTTAAGCAGGGTGTGGATTCCGACATGGGGCTCGATCTCCCAACCCTGAGATCATGACCTGAGCCAAAATCAAGAGCTGATAAGCCACCCAAGAGCCCCACTGCCAAACTATTTGGCAGAGAGGCTATACCATGCTCCACTCCCACTAGTGATGTACAATGATTTAGATTTTTTTCACACCCTCACCAATAATTATTATATTTTTAAAAGACTTTTTATTTATTTGAGAGAGAGAGAGCACAAGCATACAAGTGCACAAGCAGGGGGCAGGGTAGAGGGAGAAGCAGACTCCCTGCTGAACAAGGAGCTGAAGGGGCTTAATCCCAGGACCCTGAGATCATCACATGAGCTAAAGGCAGACACTTAATGGACTGAGCTGCCCAGGCGCCCCTATTATTATCCATTCTTTACATTATAGCCACTCTATAATTAAAAACATCTTTCATCTCCTTACTGGCCTCTATTTATCTTCTTTGGAGAAATGCTTATTCAAATCCTTTGCCCATTTTTTTTTTTAAAGATTTTATTTATTTATTTGACAGACAGAAACACAGTGAGAGAGGGAACATAAGCAGGGGGAGTGGGAGAGGGAGAAGCAGACTTCCCACAGAGCAGGGAGCCCGATGCGGGGCTTGATCCCAGGACCCTGGGATCATGACCAGAGCCGAAGGCAAGACGCTTAACAACTGAGCCACCCAGCCTTTGCCCATTTTTAAATTGGGTTATTTGTCCATTTACTGTTGAGTTATAACCATTCATTATATATTCTGGATATGTGTCTTTATAAGACACATGATTTACAAATATTTCTCCCAATCTGCTGTTTTTTCACTTTCTTGTTGGTGTCCTTTGAACCACAAAAGTTTTTACTTTTGATAAATTCCAATTAATCATTTTTTCCCCCACTTTTCTGCCTTAACTTTTACTCCCTGCTCATGCAGAACATCAAGGTCATCCAGAGGTGAGGAGTCAGGGACGTCTATAGTCTTTCCTGGACATATGTACAATCCTGCACATGCCTGTGCCCTTCTAGATTCCCAGGAATATGTTGGAACTTTTCAAAGCTCCCTGTTAAAATCTCATTGCCCAATTTTTCCTTTTAAGTTTTTTGGTCAGCCTCTTATTAGCCCTCACTGGTATCACCACCTCAGGTAGCTACAATGTTAAACAACTGCCACTGATTGTTTTCAACAAAGGCCACAGCGATAGGACTTTCCTTTGGAGCAAGCTCTAAATCAGATCAAATAAAGATTAAGTCCTGAGAATGGAACTTTGCAGGGAGCTGCCATATAGGTCAAAATATAATTTTGTGAAACTCCAAAATCATTAAGTTTCTTTTAGTGGTTGTCAGGCCTGGTTTTTGCAGTTTCCACAGTTGTGAGATTTTTGGTTTTCAAGCCTATGGAAGAGAGGGGGATGGGAACAGATCAAGTTAAAAATCCATAAAGTTCACTGTTGTTAGGGAGATTCAACCATTTTTCTTGAAATAAAAAGCCCCTTGAATTTCTGAAATATCTTTCATTAACATTCAGAGTTCTTAAAATTTTGACTTTGACAATTCTTGCCAGTGTTTTCATTGCTTTTATGGAGGAGATTTTTGGAGACTGTTACTCTATCATTCTAGAAGTATTTCTCCATGCTGTGGTTTTGACACTTCATATGCACCCAGTGCTGTGCTAAATGCGTTAACTTGGTAATTTGATTTAATCTTTAAAACAATTCATAAAGTAGGTACTGTTATTATCCACATTTTACAGATAAAGAAACAGAGATTCATATTAGCAGGAACTTGCCCCAAGTCCCACAACCAAATGTTGTGACCACAACCAACTTAAACCCAGGCATTTATTCCAGAGCTTATACTCTTAAATATCAAATTACACTCCCCCATCAGCCTTCTCCAAAAACCCAAGGAGAAAGAAGTTTAAGCATCAGCAATATTTAAGATAGTATAAATATGGCTATTAGGTCAGAGGCAAAAAAAAAAAGGTAAACAGAAATGACAATATCTGATATTATATATTCTCTGCTTTAATATTTCCCCCATATTTTAAGGAAAACATATTATGCTAAAGGCAATGTGCTTCTGAGGTTAAAAAAAATGAATACATTTTAAAATAACTTAGAAATTCTTTAGATATTAAATAGTTTAAAGTTTTGTACCACTATCAACACAAATAGGATTTATGTTCACATGCTAGTAGGGAAAAATCTTAAGGAGGAAAGTGGGACTCCAATTAAACTTTCTACGTAAAATAATTTATATTAATAAGAAATGAATAAATCCAACAATGAGAGATTCCAGAGTCAAGCCTGTTATTTATTGGAATACCTTGCTTATTGCTGGTTTCACTGAAGCAATCATTTAAATAAGTCTCTCTTTTTTAAAGAATTATTTATTTGAAAGAGAGAGAGAGAGAGAGACAGCATACACATGCATGTGTGCCTGTGTGTGTGTGTGTGGTGGGGGGGAGTAGAGAGAAAGAATCTTGAAGCAGATTCCCCGCTGAGTGCAGAGCAGAGCCTGATGGCGGGAGGTAGGGGGCTCGATCCCACAACCCATGAGATCATTACCTGAGCCAAAACCAAGAGCTGGATGCTCAACTGACTGAACCACCCAGGTGCGCCCAAATAAGTCTTTTAAAATAAGTTACAGGGCACCTGGGTGGCTCAGTCATTAAGTGTCTACCTTCGGCTCAGGTCATGATCCCAGGACCCTGGGATCGAGCCCCGCATCGGACTCCCTGCTCTGTGGGAAGCCTGTTTCTCCCTCCCCCATTCCCCCTGCTTGTGTTCCCTCTCTTGCTGTGTCTCTCTCTGTCAAATAAATAAATAAAATCTTTTAAAAAAAAAATTATCTGGGGAAGCAATGGACTCTTGAGTTCAGCTCAGGTCATGATCGTGAGTGGTG